TGTTGGGGGGGGGGGGGGGGAGTGGTTCCTGCTGCTGCTTGCACCCCATGATGGCGGGCCAGGAGGGGTTGTGCCCCTGGATCTGCACAGCACGGGGCGGGCTGCAGCTGCAGGGTGGAGCTGGAGCTGCATGGGGCTTTGATTGCTGGGGGCTGGGCTTGGAGCAGGCTTCGGGGGTGCTGGTAGGAGGCTGTAGCCACCCCAAATTTTGCTGCAGTTCTGCTCCCAGCCCTGCACCACCACAGCCCAGGCTGAACGCCCCGCCTCCACCCAAGTGCCAGGAAAAGCTGAGGCTGCACTGGGCAATGGCATGGGGCTGAGCTGCAGTGAAATTTGGGGTGGCTGCAGCCTCTTTCCAGCACCACCAGAGTCTGCTTTGAGCCCAGCCCCATTCAACAGAAACCCTGGCGCAGCGCCAGCTCTGGCTCCACCCCACACAGATCCAGGGGCACATGCCCCCCCAGTACCCCAGAGTGCAAGCAGCATCAGGAGCTTCCCCCACCCCACGAGCTGCGCCTGTCCCGTGTCTGCTGCGCAGCGCGTGCCCCTGTCCCCTCCCTCAGCAGGGGGTGTTGATCTGCCTTTTCACGCCTCTTCCCCCCCTCCCCTTCCAACTTACCAGCTGGAGGCAGCTCTTCACGCTCCTGGCTCTGCTCCGTGCTGCGCTGCAGCTGCGCACAGCACAGGCATTTATCGGCCAAATTATCGACCCCATAGGGCTGATATCCAATATAGACAATTTCCTTCATATTGGTACTGATCTGATATAGGACTAATGTACTGGTGCACCTCTACTGTAAATATATCTATAAACATTATGTTAAACTGATACCTACATATATAGTAGCATTTAATTTTTAATCATGGAAAAAAAAATGTGGATTTGGGTTTTTTTAACTCATAGAATTTGTTGGTTGTGGTAGTTTTTTGTTTTAACATCAGAGAATTTGCAATTTTTAAAAACAGAAGAAACCAGGATCGCCGCTGATGATTCCATCACCCAAGGAAATCTGCTGGAACTCATGACTGGTCTATTCTGAAAGGTTTGGAGAGTAAAGTATTTTTGTACACACTATTACTAGTACAGGAGCTCTTGGAGAACCTGGTGGGCTGTATAAACACATAGTAAGAGATAGTTCTCGCCTCAAGGGAGCTCACAGCTTGTTTTGGAGAATTAGAAAAGAAAGCCAGATCATTCCTTCGGGCACTGCATTCCATGAAGGTCCTGCTAGACGCTAGAGTTTCTCTCATGCTCCCCACCAAATAACAAGCTATAAGCTCTCCCCTAGAAGCTACATCTTCTGGGGGATGCATAAGAAGCCAAGGCCATCCAACAGCGGTACAGCAAGCTAGCGGCAGAACTGGAAACAGATCACACACATTGGTATAGGCTCATTAACTCCCCTGGGAACTGGAACTAAGTAGCCCAGGCACAGTGCTGCACAACATGGTTATACTGCTTCTACTTCTGGAGCTTGGTGACTCATGGTCATGATCTGGCCTAATAATTTTTCAGAGAAAATTTTTCAAAGGTTTATGTAGAGAAAAGGGCACTTACCCAAACCCACCCACCACCCATCAAGCTGCAAGCTCCAGAAAAGCACCTTTATGGGTCACCATTACCAGCACAGTGACTGCTCATCATCATGTATTCCCAAGCAGGAACTGCCAATGAGCTAGAAGTTATGCGAGCTAAACTAAAATTTTAAAAATTGAGCTGAATAATCCCCAATCTGACTACTGGGGCAATGTTGCTTGTTGCATCTGATCAAACTTGCTGAATTATACTAAGTTGGGTATTTATGCATTACTGCCCACTAGAGTACAGACATGTCTGATACATTATGAATATTAGATTCATTGTTTTCCAAAGACAGGCCCAAGCATATGACACTGAAAACTCAATAATTTCTACCCACATTTCACTTTTATTTGCCCACCTGCTCATTCTGGAGAGTTTATGCAAAAAAAAAATTGCCATGGTAAATGGAACTAAATTTCAATGCATCAGATATACTTGAATGGTTGTATAAAGGGAAAAAGGGGACCTCCCTACTTACAACTTTTATAATCTGAAGATGAAGGTATTTCTTACCTTTTTCTCCAGCTGAAGTAATAGTAACTATGGGAAAAAAGAGAGAGAGAGATGGTAAGTAAATCTGTATCTTCCCCCCTCAACAAAAAGCTTTATTAGAAGTGAGCTATGTGAAATACGCACACACTGAAATATTTTTTATAAAAAGTTATGCACCCGTGTACCACATAAGAACACTTGTTTCTCCTAACATCTGAGTCAGTAGCAGAGTCTAACACAGAATTCATGAGTCCCAGATTCCATGGTTTAACCAAATTCACAATGCATAAGCTAACTGGATCTAATTAAATGTTATCCTTCTGATATGTACCTACTATACTCTCTGAACAACATTAAGATGTATGCATTCACCCAGCTTCTTTATTTACCACTGGCATCAATTCTAGAAAAGCATAACTGAATCACTGCCTCCAAACCAGGAGGTAGAGAGGGAGTGAAAAATAATAATGAAGTTCTTTACAGAAGTTCCCATGCAGATGTCCATATTAGTTGCATTCAATCTATTTCTTAAGATCTTGGAACTCTGTCACCTTGGGTATCACATCATCTTCCTCCCCATCACTCAACTGAATAGTCTGCAGGCTATTTTTGTCTCTTCTTCCCTGCCCCAGGTATTGAAGTGATAATGTTTCACCAGTTCTTACTCCTGTGCATCTCCAAGATCTATTTCTTTCTATCCCCATCTAGCTAAATCTACTGCAAGTGCAATGCTGTAGGGCTACTTCTGTTGCCAGAGGGTGAGAGGCAATCCTGATGCCCCTCCTAAGTTGGCACCTGGAGCTGGTGCCCTGCTTGTCCATCCCTACTTAGACCACTGCATGGAATTTACTGTTAAATCACCAGTGTAAGGCACTGTCTGCAAAAGGAAATATACAGGAGCAGAGATTTGTGCTCAGAGAGCTGCAATCAAGATCCTGTCAAATTACCACAAATGGAAGCAAATGTACAGTATTTACATTCCATTCTTGCTGAGAGCAGAAGAGTTCAAAACATATTCTTTGGTTGGTTTACAGTGCAAATTTCCTTTTTCCCCCCTTTATGCCTTTGTATTCAGAAGGCCAAACATCTTCAAAGCACATTTTATATTAAATTCTCAGTTTCCTACAGTAAGTCTTCAATGTTTTAACAGCTCTTTGTTAAAAAAAAAAAGATATGGACACAGAAGTAATTATAGTCTAATTCACACTGCAATCTTGCAAAGGGTTTATGAAATACATACAGAGTGATACAGAAATCTTGCAAGTTTCCAGAGACTTGAAGATCACATTGAGTTTCTATAATTTAGCTGACATCACTGTGCGACTGACTAGTTATAGTAACACTGCAGTTACAGAAAAGACTGCAGTGTAGTGTACAGATATCTAATACAGCTTTTACTAGATAGTGCAGGTATCAAGGCTAAGCTACTACTGGTACCATGGAGCTTAGTGTGGGATGCAAACCTACCCAAGTAGCAGGATAAATTAGCCTGTGCTGAGCTCTTTGCTGCTGTGTATGAATTGTTAATGGCACCTGAGCTAACTAAAGTGAACTTCAGTCTCTCTACACTACACTGTAGTCACCTGCATTGTGCTGCAAACTCTAGTTCTCTCCTCTCAACATGAAGGCAAAGAACAAAACAAAATAAAGCAGTAAAAAGAAAAACACTTATTCAAAGGACTTAATGCCAGTTATTACGTACCAAGAACCGCCCACAGCAAGGTATAAAATGACTGTTTCCCTCCTTCCTTGAATGGTGCATTAGTTCTTTGTACCAGGAGAAAGGCTCCCCCACTCCCCAACACAAATGTAATGCCTGTTCATAGCCCTGACTCTCTCTCTCTTGCACCATTTTTTGTCTCTGTTTTTGCCCACACTGCTCCTTACACTCACAAATCCCTCTTTTATTCAGGACAGGGGAAAAAAAATCCTGCATAGGTAGGACAGAGTGGTGAACAAAGATCTAATTAATCAGAAGAAAAAAAAAAATCAAATTTTTCATAAGCGACTCATGACTTTGGGCTTCTATTTTTTTGAATACCGAAACTGAGCTATCTTAGAAGCTGACATTCAGAAACTGCACTGCTTCAAAAGGAGACTTCCGAACACATGTCCAATACCAGCGACTACCACAGCAGCACCCAGGTACCTCCAAAAGCCCGGCAAGGCCAGGAAAACTCTCTGTTCTGAGGCACACAGAAGTAGTTTGCCAGGTCTCTCTCAGAAAACCAGTTAGGAGAACTAAAACAAGAATGTAACACATCTTTACTCAGTGCAGTAACTGAACTGTAGAATCATCCTCAAGGTAGGATCCATCTAACTCATTAGCAAGCAATGAATTCAGAAAAAATACAAATAAAAATAAAGATGTGGGAAAAACAAGACCTTGTGTGATACACCATATTTATGAAAATTCAGGACAACTCTGAATTTAAGATGACCTCCCCCACAATAACAATTACATGCTATACATGAAAAATTATCACTGTGTTATAATTTTCCATGTATACAATCTAATTAGTGGAAGGCCATTTTAAGTTTGTCCCCCACTGCTGCTGTGGCAGAAAAAGCAGCAGCAGTGGGGGTAAGGCAACATACCCATTCCCCTTGCCCCTCTTCCCCTACAAACTTACCTATTGTTGTAGCTCTGCTCTGGAGCCCAGCCCAGCCCAGCCCAGCCAGGGAAAAGCAGTGGCAGTTTTTGGCCAGGCCTAGTCAGGGCTAGAGGGACCTGGGCAGAAGGTAAGGGGCACAGGCTGCATAGTCTCTGCCATACTCCCTCCAAACCACACACAGGGGTATCTCCTGTTCTCTTACACCATCAATACCCCATGGTCTCCCCCAGCTGTGAGCCCCCTCCCCTGCCAGATGAGCCATCCCAGATTGGGGCAGGCAGGAGATGGCTCCAAGCTTTGGCCTGAGCCCAGAGCTGAAACCATAGCTGAGCTGCTGTCTGCCCCAGGCTGGTACCTGAATCCAAGACGAGGGGTTCCCTCCACCACGCTGACTGAAAAAGAAAACCTTATCTTGGATTTGAGTATACGTGTTAGTGGTATGTATTCTTCGAAGCACCACTGACAGGCCCCAAGGAACCCAGGCTTTGAAACAGTGTGGTCTCCCCAAGGCACCTTAAGAGTAAACTTTTACATTCCTGTTAGTTTCTCCTCCCCACCCATGAGGAGTACTAATGTGCACATGCAAGTGCGTTCCTTCACCAGAATGCTGCCCTTACTCTTCTGGATTAAACAATCAGCTCTAGAGTTTAGCTGACGCACATCTCTCTCTTTAACTTGAAGAACAACTTGGGAATTCCTGTTAACCCTTGACTCACCCACATGTGAAAACACTTACTCATGTGATGATGTTCAGTGATCATAACAAAGTGGGCTGGCAATGGCAGCAGTTATAAAGAGCCAATCACCAAATATCTTCCCAGTCCTTTAAAACCCACAACTCGGTGACCTTTTCTTTCTGTCTACCCATTTCCTAACCAGAAATCATCTACTACTGCGTTCATCCACAGGCACTACCAAGCTGCTTTTTTAAGAATGACTTCATGAAGACCGAGCTGATGTGCTCTCAGCTGGCCAGAGACCAACAAGATACTGATGGATCTCTGATGCAACGCTAGCAGGGGCAAGAGCTGAATACATGTATTGCCAGCTGAAAGGAAGCCCAGGCAGAAGTGTACAACTTGCCAAGTTGGAACAGATTTACTTTCACAAGTTGCTGAGTTTATAACACTTCTGCCCAAGATCCACTGCAATGACAGACAGGTTTTTATAATACACTGCAAAAAATGTTCATAACAGTGGTGTAGTTCATTGTAACATTATACGTGGAAGTGTGGCCTTGAACGGTTAGCAACACATGAGTGAGCAAAAACTACCAGGACAGGACGCAGCTCCCACAACACCCGTCTACTATTCTGTAGGGTGCCTGCTTTTCCTTACAGAAAGTATTTCAAGGGTGGATCACTTATTTCTGTGAAGTCAAATTGTAAAGATCACTGTTTGAACTCCTGTCACAACTTTTGGGTAGGTTTCAAGCAAACTCAAAAGGCATTCAACGATGGCTTTGGTAATTGTTGATGGGAAGCCTCTCTCACTTCAGCTTAACCTTGATTTCAAAAAGTGGAAAAGGAAAAAAAAGCCACCACCGAACAAACCCACATACCAAGGCATTTTTTGGGCTGCACAAAACAGCCTTGCCACCTGTACTGCTCTGTTAGCTCACAGAGAGCTTCATAAATGCTGCACACCCAGGGACTGACCTTATAAGATGCATTATACTCTAAACATGGTAAAAGTGAGATTACAGTTGCACAGTATGAACCATGATGACTTGTTTTGTTACTAAACACAGTCACAGTTTGTATTATGGTTAAAGCAATGTTAATGTGCTTATTTGACTAGAACAAATAATGTAAAGTGACTGAAAAGCACACTGCCCAGAAGATATTCTCTTACATGAACAAGTTAGGGAGTCCTTTATGGTGAAGTCATTTCTAGTTCAAAACCCAGTATTTGTACCAATAGGAACAAAGAAGGAAACACAATCAGTACAAGTATTATTCCTAATGAGGAAATAAGGGACACCCCAGGGAAATATAGCAGACTAAGCAATGTTTTTAAACAGCATAGTCTGTAGAACCGACCACCACAAAACTTCATGAACCTTGCACAAGTGTTCTATGTATCCAATACTTTTTTTCTCCAATGCATATGCATTAACATGGGCTTGAACAGATAAATTAGTTCCCCACAATAACATCCATAGGTGCCTGCTCCTCCAATCACTTTTTCACCCCTGCTGCATACCCCCTGTGCCAGGCATGGAGGACAGGAGCCAGGCCATGCAGTCCCCTCTGCCCCCTACCCACTGCTGACTAATTCCCACTAAAGGAGCTGCTGCCATTGTATCAGCTGTTACCAGGGAGGGGGGAGGGGAGAAGGCAGCAGCAGCTTTGGCTCTAACCCTATGGTACTTCATACTCAAATCCAAGATGAGGGGCTTCCCTCATCTTAAATAGGGAAAAAACATCCTGA